TACCTGTTTGTTTTTTCCACTGGGGTATTTTTCACATTTCTGCGTTCTCTTATCTTCTCTTGTTCATCTGGCGTGCAAAAGCATCGTCACGGGGCAGAAAGCGTGAGCTCATTCCCGGCCTCGTAAAACCACTCGCCGCCCTGAAGCTCTTCTAACTCCAATTTGGAGCAGGGACAAGCTACTTCCATCGCCAGCCAGGTGTATGGGAAGCCGATCAATGCAACCGCATTTGCACGACACCAGCCTGGACAAATCTTGCCAGACGCCGCTGTGCACCTCCATCTCCCTCTACCACACAGGAGCTGAAATGCTCCCTCTCGGGTTGACCTGTCAGTGTGTCCATGGCCAGATAAATTGCTTTGGCAGGCTGCAGTTGGCCCCCAGGTTTCCACTTCATTAATCCCTGCTCTAACATCAGGTATTTCCATTTGGAAATAGGATGGTGAAGCAGAGGCCTCTGCCCAAACGAAGCTGCCTAAATGCAAGCCAGGTCCTGTTGATAACTGCATTAACATAGACTTGGGCCTGAACTAATATTCCCTGCTTTCCAGCAAGACTTTTAGTTAATACTGCTCTACCACCCAGAGCTGGCTCATAACCACTTGCCCCTGGGGATATTCCTTGGGGCAGACTCCAGCCTGTAGGTTTTTCTTCTCATCTTATTCCTCTGAGCTGCTCCGGGAACAAAATTCCCATTAACAGGGGTGAGCATGACTGACCTTAGCCCTGTTGCCATGGAAAAAGGGGATTCTGCATTGCAAATCCTGGTTGGCTCCACCAAAAGGCTGATGGCCTATTAGAGGCAGGTTAACCACTCAGGGAAGGAAGCACCTCTCAGCCCAAGCAGCAGCAGATACAAATAAGCAGCTGTTGAAACAGAAGTCACCGCCTGAACTTTTAGAAAGACTGGTACGGAAAAAAGAAGCGCCCATTACCTCTCCCCTCCGCGCCAAGGGCTGAACACACCTCTGCCAGGTGCCAGGGTGGCAAGGGCCTAAGTCAACCCATAAACCCATCTGCAAAAGTCAGAATTGGCCTTGTACCCCATCCCTCTCATTAATTCACACTAGTGTGGCCTTACTGATGCCAGCAGTATCACCT